TTTTTCCTCCCTCTGAAAAAGTCTGCATTTCCTGTCCTTTAGTTACACGCTCGACATGACCACAGAGCCTTTGTTCCTTTGGGTCAGATTCTCCCAGAAGAGAGAATCTTCCCAAGCCGCAGCTGTTGAGTGACCACGCTCGACCACACTGCTCTGTCTCCTGACCACCCTTCTAAATTGCTCTCCCTCCCTCCTCTTTTCCCAAGAGCAGCCAGCTGGACCGGATTTACTCTGGTCGCTGTGTCGCAGGGCGAAGCCCAGTCTGCTTGCTGGGCGGGCAGCGCCGTTTGACTGGGGACTGGTCAGGGCCGGTAGATTAGTAACTGGATATCTACAGAGAGGCCAGTGGGGCCTGAGCCCTGTGATCCAGTGGAAAGTCGGGTCTCTGCGGCGGCCTTGTGGTTCTGTGTGGCCCAAGATGGGAACCGCAATCCCTGCTGACACCCTGTTCCCCGAGGACGTGGTTTTACTTCAAACCATGATTTCCCATCTCCCTCTCCGCGACTCTCTGTCTGTGACTATAGGGCCTCTGCCCAGCGCTTACTGGTGAAGAGGATACGGCACCTCCTCACCACTGGCGCTCGAGGCCACTTTTCTCCCACGGAGCCGGGCACGCAGGAGGGGGCCTTCTCCTAAACAAGCTTAAAAGAGAGCTTTGTAACCTCACGTCACATGTGAACTGCGCAGGATGGGCTGGTGGCAGAGAAGTGGCCGGAATGGGTCTGCGAGCACACATTTGTGTGGCCTCTGATTATATGGAGAGTAGCCCTTAAAAAAAAATAGACAGCTCAAGACGGGAATAAAGTTCTGCCAAAATAAGTTTTATAATAAGACGCTTGAGGTTGTGATATGATTTGCAATTTTGCAAGACAAATACACAACTTTGTTCTTTGTCATGTCAATTTGATTAGAAAATATGTCCCGTACAAATTGCATCCTCTATGTGTTTTAAATAGACGAATTGAAATAGACACTTTGAATCATTAAAGGGACAGTTCACCCCAAAATCAAACATACATATTTTCCCTCTTACCTGCGGTGCTGTTCATCCGTCGAGATTATTTTAGTGTGAGTTGCAGAGTGTTGGAGAAATCAGCCGTAGAGATGTCTGCCTTCTCTCCAATATAATGGAACTAGATAGAACTCGGCTTGTGGTGCTCAAAGCGCCCAAATAATCAATAATCAAACAGCAATGTCTCTTTCCAGAAATCATGACCTGGTTACTCAAGATAATCTCAGATCTTGTTGTGAGCAGTTTCATGTAGGAACTATTTTCTTTCTAATGAACTACACCCACCAATGGTATCAACACACAGAAGGAAGCGTGCATCCACTCATGGACAAGAGGCTAGTGCTTGTGACAGCGTGAAATTAATGGCGTCTTCCTCAGCTGAGCTGTACTATTATCTAGCTCTGAGGTGCTAGGTAAGCTAGCAGTAGATGCACGCTTCCTTCTGTGCGGTGTTACGTTTTTTGGGTGTAATGACCCTCGAGGATAAGTGGTTACGAAAATGGATGGATGGATAAACTACATCCACCAACCAAATCACCACACAGAAGGAAGCGTGCATCTACTGCTAGCTTACCTAGCACCACTGAACTAGCTAACGTTACAGCCATAGGTGTAGATTTTGGGGGGACAAAATTTAGAACATGCATTTTTACCACTCCAATAAAAACATGAAATTCATAGTAAATGTCTTTAACTTTTTGACAAATTAACAACATTTACACCATAAATTGGTGCATAAAAATTCACCAGACTGCAGGAAATTAAGTGTTTGATGCTCCAGATGTTTGGTTGACAATCCCTGTTTCATCTGTGTCCCCTTCGCCAATGCTGAAACTAAACCTACACCCCTGGTTACAGCCCAGCTGAGGAGGATACCATTAAAGCCCAGGCCACACTGCCTATGTGGGCAGTGCATGTGCATTGCAGAACCTCATTAATAGGTTAGAGCGGCCACACTGCCCACATGAGCAGTGCTGCTCGGGCACGTCTCAGCTGCTGCTCAGCTATAGAACATCTGAGAACAGGAGTCTTAACTATTTTTTTTAATGTCATGTGCACATTTTTCAGCAAAGACAGACAGAAAATGTTCTTTTTATAATCACATTGACATCATACCATCTTCAGCAACGCTGTCTGTGTGAACATCACCCATATGTGTGCTGCAGCAGTTCAGCGAGGTCACACCCTGCTCACACAGGCAGTGTGGTGTTTGCATATTGTGCTGTCACGAGCCTCTTGTCCGTGAGTAGATGCACGCTTCCTTCTGCATGTTGATACTGTTGGTGGGTGTAGTTTGGGAGAAAGAAAATAGTTCCTACATGAAACTGCTCCCAACAAGGTCTGTGGGATTATCTCGAGTAACCAGGTCATGATTTCTGGAATGAGACATTGCTGTTGAGTTTTTCAAATTGATTTTTTTGGGCGGTTTGAGCACCACAAGCTGAGTGTCATCTAGTACTAGTATACTGGAGAGAAGACAGACATCTCTACGGCCGATATCTCCAACGCTCTGCAACTCACACCAAAACAATCTTGATTAATAAACATCACTACAGGTAGGAAGGTGGTTTTTGGGTGAACTGTCCCTTTAAAAACATCTGCAGCCACTAACCATTTGCAGAAAGTCATGCTATTGCAATTGTTATGTCAATAGCTGTGCCACTGCCAGGATAAGAGCTGTGGGAACGTGACATCTTCTCAACATGCACATTTCTGCTGACCAGAAGACCAGAATCATCAACATGGCACCCAGATGTCAGCCTTCAGGCACAAACACACACACAGTCAGGGAAGTCACAATCCCTCCTGCAAACACCAAATCCTCCAAACATCATCTGTGCAAGCAATTTGTTTGATTATTTTCAGAATATTTGGATGTAATAATTACATTTCTACATTGATCCAAGCTTAATGTTGTGACACTGAGACACTTCATGGGCCGCTGTTTGTGGTGAGAGCTGGCAACCACCGAGAATTCCTCCCGATTCGACTTTCTCACACAAACCCGCCCTGCTCGAGCCTTCTTTCCTTTCTTCACTCCTCTATCTCCACTCTATTGTGTCTCTTCTCCAGCTTTCTCTCCATTCCCTCACACACACACAGTGTACACGCACTGTTTCTGTTATGCTATCCAATGGCCTGGAGGCTCAAGCGAGGACAGGCTTGACTGCTGTTGGCCCGATATCAAGAAATACCTGATGGGTCCCCGCACTCATGCCAGGACTCATTTATGAAGCATGAGGCTGTCAACAACTACCTTCAGAAATAAAAGCTGTGAGTCACACTCTCGCCTGCATTGTTTTCTAAGAACAACAGAGTCGTACCAGCCGTCATCTCTGGAGTAACGTTCTGGAAGGTGCTACTTTATTTAAAAAAATCAATGCGCTGATATAGTAGCACAATGCGAAAGATTAGTTGTCAGATTGTGATCAAGATTCAGCACCTACCGTCTATCTGTGCCTCGTCTTGCCCCGAGATCGTAACTGCACGCTAGTGAGATTCCTCACTGACAACATGATGGGTATTTCTTGAATTTCAACCATAAAAACATCAACTCATCCACTTCAGTTTGCTTTCCCCTCTAATGACTGAAAGATATCAGGGAGCTGTTTTAATTATGTGTTTCATTACACTGGACTCATGTTATGTGGCTGATAGTCTGCGTGTCAGAAAATCTGACTTTGTTGCTGCTGATTAAAACAACATATCATTTATTTCTAACACCCGATGGCTTATTGGGTAGAGCAGGCATCCCATATACACTCACCAGCCACTTTATTAGGTACACCTTGCTAGTACCTTGTTGGACGCCCTTTTTAATTCTTGGTGTCACAGATTCAACAAGGTGCTGGAAACATTCCTCAGAGACTTTGGTCCATATTGACATGATGACATCACACAGTTGCTGCAGATTTGTCGGCTGCACATCCATGATGAGAACCTCCCGTTCCAGCACATCCCAAAGGTGCTCTATTGGACTGAGATCTGGTGACTGTGGAGGCCATTGGAGTACAGTGAACTCATTGTCATGTTTGAGATGATGTGAGCTTTGTGACATGGTGCGTTATCCTGCTGGAAGTAGCCATCAGAAGATGGGTACACTGTGGTCATAAAGGGATGGACACAGTCAGCAACAATACTCAGGTAGGCTGTGGTGTTTAAACCATGCTCAGAAAATCTCCCCCACACCATTACACCACCAGCAGCAGCCTGAACCTTTGATACAAGGCAGGATGGATCCATGACGCCAAATTCTGACCCTACCATCTGAATGTGGCAGCAGAAATCCAGACTCATCAGACCAGGCAACATTTTTCCAATCTTCTATTGTCCAGTTTTGGTGAGAAAACCCGTGTGAACTGTAGCCTCAGTTTCCTGTTGTTAGCTGACAGGAGTGGCACCTGGTGTGGTCTTCTGCTGCTGTAGCCCATCTGCTTCAAGGTTGGACAAGGTGTTGTTGCTTCAGAGATGGTCTTCTGCAGACCTTGGTTGGAACCAGTGTTTATCTGACTTCCTGTTGCCTTTCTATCATCTTGAACCAGTCTGGCCATTCTCCTCTGACCTCTGGCATCAACAAGGCATTTTGGCTCACTGGATATTTACTCTTTTTGGGACCATCCTCTGTAAACCCTAGAGATGGTTGTGCTGAAAATCCCAGTAAATACTCAGACCAGCCCGTCTGGCACCAACAACCATGCCACGTTCAAAGTCACTTAAATTCTGATCATCTGCTCCGTTTGAACTTCAGCAGGTCGTCTTCACTATGTCTACATGACTAAATGCATTCAGCTGCTGCCACGTGATTGGCTGATAAGGTGTACCTAATAAAGTGGCTGGTGAGTGTACATGACTGCTACTGCACTGAAGAGTAGTTTCGATCATGCATGTATTAACGGACTGTCACAGAGAAACACGACTGTTGCTCGGCAACGCAGCAGGTGGTGACGTTATCATCAGAATCAGTTCAAGAGTTTGTTGTCGCACTCACCTGTCTGACGTCACTCTGTGAGGCTTGCGCACTGCGAAGTCCTCCTCAAACTGCAATTGTCCAACATGTTGAGCTGAATCCAGTCACATCAGGGGCTGTAGTCCAAAACAGAAAGTCTTCACACACCTGACTGACAGCAGAAGTCCCGCTGAATGATCCTCCATGTTTTAGCCTCCACCTGTGTCACGCAACATCGTCGGTGTGTTTGATTTGGGTCACTTGACGTGCCCGGCGGGTGGCGCATTAAATGAGTCATTAATTAAGGAAGATACAACTTTCTTTGACTGTGCCGAGGTATAATAATATTAACCTTAACCACTACAAGCCACAGCCCAAATGTTCCACATCCCTGTCACCTGCTGACCCTCCGCAGGTGAGTGTAAATATTGACTATCTCCTCCAGAGAGTCAGCTGACTGCACACTGTCACCTTTCACCTGCTCCGCCCTCCTGCAGCCACACACACACCTGCAGTTTCTCCTCTGCTGCGGATCTACCTCCATTTATTTCCTTTATTTGTCCCATTCTCACAGTTTATCAGGACTGATTCATGTCAGGTATGATACCTGTGATAAAAAAAAAAAAA